AACACAGGCATCTGCACTCAAACACCTCATTCAAATAATCCAAAAAATCCGTTTTTACAAACAGTCGCAACTCATTACCGTCCTTTCCGGCCATGCGTTTCTGGTGAACACTGTTCAGCCCGGTTCGTGAAGGTGACTCCGGTTGTCCGTTAACAAATAAATAACTCATCTTGCTTGCGTTCCTGTTCGGTTCTCCTCCGCTCGTTCCTGTTCGGGTCTCGTCCGCTCGTTCCTGTTCCGGGTCTCGTCCGCTCGCGCTCCCTTTACTGAGGTCGACGGATTGCAGTAGGCATCCTGGTGACCGTGATCCGACACACTTTTCTCCAGTGTCCTATGCTGCCGCAGTGGTCGCAGCGAGAGCTCCGTGCGGAACAGTCCGCCCTGTCTCCGTGTCGTACCTGCGGAGGCGAGGGCACACCGTAGTCTCCACCTCCTCCGGATTCTGTCGCGCCCGCTGTCCCGGTTCCTCTATCGCTCACTCATGGTCTTGCAGTTCAGCGGGACTCCACTCATTCTTCCAGCCGCTGATCCATATTCCCGCAGATCCGGAGGACAATCGACGTGATATCCGCCATCCGAGGGCCTTCCTACACAGCCAACAGGACCCCAGCCGCATCGGCCGTGGCTTCGGCGGGGCCGTCCCCCTCCGACCCCGTTTCTCCTCACATCCCGTTCCCTCGCGTGAGTCTCGGTTTCCTCGCGTGAGTCCGACACCCCCAATCTGGTCTGGACTCGAGGCCGTCGCATTGGGCTGGATAAATGGGATCAAAAGACTCCATCCATTTCTTGGACAGCTGGAGGCTTCTTTTAGGCAGAAAGATTTTTTTTTGGGTTCTGAGGGGAGAAGTCCGGGGTTGGTTTGGTTGAGCCTTTGAAGCAAGAGATTGGACGACAACAAAAGTTCACGCAGGAATGGGGGCGCCATATCTTTCCCGGGGGCAAGGAACCGCTGGGGGTGATGTTTTTTACTGAGGCCGCGCATGTGAACTGCTGATTCGGGCAAGATGGCCGTCGCCTCAGTAGTATCTTTACCTGACGTTGGATCGACTGATGGATCTCAAACTGGAAGGCGGTTTGGAAACCATGTTGGAAACCTACAAAGAGTTGGTGGACCAAATGATGATGGCATATCAGTTGCAAAGCCTCCTGTGGCGATGATTCACACGATTGATATTGATTGTGAGAACCAATTGATATATGTGAAGTGCAATCTGTGCCCAAGGAACAGTATCATGTCCCAGGCCCTCACCCGAAGCTGTCGATTTCCATTTCGTTGGCAAAACGGGTCAACGTCCATAAAACCAAGCTACCAGAAACGAGTTGCTGGGATCGGTCATACTGATTGACGGCAAGCCGGTGGACCTTTGGGTCGATTCGGGGCTACTACAGGGGGGTCGTCGACACAGTTGGTTTGGAGTTACTTAAGCAAGTCCCCCACCTGGTTTTTCTTTGAGGAGCACCTGTCCCCTCAAGAGCTAGAGGGCGCACAATGAGTATAATACTAACAAGCGCATGATTGAGTTCCTGTACATAATGAATGCCTGGATGCGATCGTCCAAGTGGTCGAAACCTATGGCATCTTGAGGTTTCCTTCCACGAAGGGATGGGCTACGTTTTGTGGGGTAAAAAGCCAGCTGGAGTTATGCTCCTGTTATTCTGCGCGGTGACGGTACGGCACAGCCAGGTCTCCCATCTTCCGCTTATACTCTTCCCACGGCCTCGCGAATTCAAGAATCATAGCCACGTCATTGTTTGGGTCCACGAGCTCTTCTTCAGCTTCATCTAGAGCAGCCCTTACTTCGTGCCACGGGTCTGCAGAAACCGCGTCTGGATTGCACTGCTGTAATGTTGGTGTGGTGAAGGTCCTCACACCCTTCGTCTCCCCCGCCAGTCGGCACATATATACCAGAATGAACTTTAGGTCTTGAATTCTAGTGGCCTTCGTCGGAGGAAACCTCAAGGTGTGCGGCCCCATAATGTCCGAATAATCATCCACCCACTGTCGGACCTTCTCTCCAAACTCCTCGTCAATCCCGCACGTCTCTGGGTGTTCTTCAGCCACTTGGGCGATCGCATGCAGACACTCCCCCACCAACAGAAGAGTGAACGAAACCACACTCGCGTTGGCCCTATATTCATCTTGGAACGCCGCCAGCTCCTCAGTGGATAGGGTCACGAGCTCCTCGGCGGGTAAACCCACTACCAGATCTGGGAGTTCCTTAAGATACCCCAAACCGGTGTGTACCAACGCGCTCGCTACAGTCCAGGCCCCCATCGAAGACCCGAAGGTCTCAACCACATCCACCGGCTTACCGTCAAACTCGACTGACAGTGTGACCTTCGCTAACAACCCGCTTTCTTCCACAGAAGCACCCGCTCGTAAACACTTCATTGCAACCAAAAAAAAACTTTCCCTAGCGACAATCTCAGCCGTAATGTCTCGCACACTGACCTGAATTGCTCTAGGCGTATCGTAAACACGAGGGTGCTTCTACTGCACAGCTGGGGCTGGGGCTTACTTCTTTCACGTACTCAAAGCTCGCATGGCATCCCGCAAACGACTACGGCCCTGTCTCTTCCCCTTCTGTGCCAGTCATCACGACGCGCACGATCACACCGTCTCTTGGCCCACTATCTTCGTGGCAACCTCACCGGCAGACATTGCGGTCCGACAGTCTGGACATCCCCAGTCCGCCCAGTCTCCGCGTCGTACCGGGGGGGGGAGGGGACATCCCGGGGGGGAGGGAATTCAATCCATCCGTACCTGTGGAGGCGATGGTACACCGTAGTCTCTCCTAGCTGTTCTTCGCTCATTTCCGCCGGTCGCTCCGCGGGCGGTTATTGGACGTGTACTGCCGGGTTTACAACGGCCAAGACACGCGTCTGTGCCTCAAGGTTGATGCACACGCTGTCAACTACATCTAGGAGTGACTTTCCCCTGACCGACGCGAAGTCGCTCGGCAAGACCGTCAGCGCCGCGACCTTCGCCTCCATGGCATAGGCCGACGTCGGAAAGAGAAGACGCGCTATGTCCCAAATCAACTGTTCCACGGGTATGCCGGGACCTTGCGGGGCGCTGTCGCTTCGCAGTAGGTAGGTATTTGCGTCCAAAGCACCTCTATCATAATCTCTTCTCCATTTTGTGGCCCGCGCGATTGACTAAGCCTACCACCTCGTCGACCCAGTCTTCGAAGTGTTGCTCATTGTTGGCAGTAGGCTTTGCGATGCAGTCATCCTTTGCGGACTGTTTGCGATGACCCTCGCATTCGGCGAAGTCGTCCACAATCTGTTCGGAAATCAAGCCAACCTCCGCTCAGACGACCTATTCCACCACGAATGGTCTGCACTCGGCCCGTTCTAGTCGCGGCCATTCCCACAAAGGACCTTCCAGATTCCGGCACCATTTCTACCTCTGTTATCCGGTTTGTAGGTTGAAGTCGCTTGTTAAAGTAGTTGTAACCAGCGGCCATCTCGTCCCGATCCGTCAACTTCGTCTTGAACCCAAGGTTGAAAC